GGGGAGTGTGTGTGAGGGACGGGGAGGGGGGTGGGGTGGTTCGCTGCTGCTGTGTGGGGAGGCTGAGGTGCGGTTCCTCAGGGTCGGGGAGGGGAGCTGTGAGGAAAGCCAGGCTGGGCGTTCTGGGTTTAAATTCAGCTATCCTTGGTGAAACGGTGTGAGACGTTCCCTGCCCCCCCTCTCCAAAAGATCAAAAATAAAAAAAAGCCTTTGATGGACGCCCTCCTCTCCCCTGCCCTCCTTCTCCTCGTGTTCTGTCCGTGGGCTTCCCCGCTGAGGTGAAGGCTTTCTGAGGCCAGGAACTCGACGCCGGTTAGAGCTGTGCAATTTTTCACCTCAGCCCCTTAGCCTCTTCAAGTGGCGGGTGAAAATTTTCAGGCAAAACGCAAAGAAACTTGTTTGGAAACGTGATCGCCGAGAGTTGGGAATGGGAAAGGACACCTTGACTCTGAAGTGAAATGGTGAGCAGGGAGTGAAGACCACTGGGCCCTGGTTCGTGGGCCCGGGCAGAGAGTCCAGGGAGGAAGACAAAGCAGAGGGTGACACGGTCCTCCACAAAAACAGGCTGGAAAATGGTCTTCAACAGCGGCCTTCAGGCTTGGCGTGAGGGCAGCAGGGTTGTTCTTGACGTAGTCAAGGAAAGCCAGGTGCAAATGGTTGAAATATGAACGTCGGAGCAAGAATTGGGGTGGGGCAGCTGCTCACTGAAGATGTTTTTATGCTGAGAAAAGGTTATGGGGAAAAATCCAACTCTAGGTTACAGATGCCAGCGTCGTTCCCAGTGCTGGGAAAGGGAGACGTCAGGGTAGGAGCGTGGGCTGGCAGAGGTCAAAAGTTCTGTATTCACCACGTAGCTGTGAGCTTGCAGACAACCATGAGATGCGAGAGGGACAGCAGATCTTTAGCTGGGGTAGAAAGGCGGAGGTCTGCAGTGGAAGAATCGGTCTGTGCACCATCGGCCAGGGAAGGGGAGGTTTCCAAGAGAGGAGCATGATATGCTGTGCCACAGGTGGCTGATGGGTCCAGGAGAAGGAGGATGGGTCTGGCAAGCGTGGCAAAGCCCGTAGGGTGCCGGGGGGGAAGGCTTTTGAAAAGAAACAAGGTCTCAACCAGAGGAAAAGCTCTCCAGACGGCAGCAGTTGGACTCAGCACGTGTTGTTCTCAGCAGCCAGATGTCCACGTCATTGCAATCACCGGGGGTGTTAATTGGCACCTGGGCGGATGCTGCTCGCAGCGAGACTGAAGTCCAAATTGCCTTGCTGTGACCGCTCCATCCGTGGAAGCCGACACTTGTCCTCAGAGGTCCTCCTTCCAGGTCAGAGCTGAGCAGAGCTCCTGGACCTTTGTGGAGATGGTCTCTAGGTCACCGTGCTGGGGGCACAACACCCACACTGGGCTCCAGACGAGCGGGGGCCTTCGTTTCCTAGCAAATAGATAAATGAACACAATAGCCCCTCTATCTGCTTGTGGAAAATACTCGTAAAACCGAGAATTAGATAATTGTCTGCTGGAGCCCATAGTCATGACAAAAAGTGTTCTCGGAAATATTTTTTGAGCAACAGGGGCCGAAAACATCATTCCTACCTCGGGTCAGAGGTAACAGCCAAAAACCTTGGATGCAGTGAGAGAGGCTGTTAACTCCCCCTGCTCACATTTGCTCCATTAGCCTACACAAATACTCAGTAAAGACTTTCCTGACACCATTGTTAGGCTTCAGGTTGTATTTCAAAAACGTCACTAATAACCAAAGCTCTTGATTATTTTGAAAACTTCCAGCAACCTTTTCCCTTTGTTTCCAAGTGTAAATTACTGGAATTAGAAATGCAACTTTGTGAAACCGTCTATAATGGACTGATGTAATTGGCTTGAAACAATCCATACGTTAAAATTGTTAACGATGATAAGAAGGGGTTCTTGTGCTACGAGGGAGTTGAAAGTAGGGTTGAGGAAGAGAGAGCATAGAGAGATTGCTGCAGGGATGAATCCTCCCCAGGCTGTTGATAAGGCTCACGCAGGCTTTTGTGTTCTTGCTGCTTTTTTTCCCTTTCTTGATAAAATCAGATGTAGAGAAAGGCTCAGCTGGACCTTTATACTGTGTGGAACATGTCGTGCAATGCCACCACTTACGCTTTTCTTAATAAATCCCGCTCAGATTCACATGCTTCCCTCTTCTATTTCATTATAGGTTAAATTTGGTGTTCTGTAGCATTCATTTTTAAATCTGAAGTCAAGCTCCGTGGGAACTCTCCCACTTGTACGTAGGCACAAGTATTTACAGGCATGGGGGTTGCGGGGTTTGGGGGTGCACCCAGCCTTGGGTGACCTGCTGTCCCAGGGTGACCTCGTGGCTGGATCTTCTGTGCCACGTAAAATCCTCCATTCCTGGCGTTGTCCACTCTAGGTGACTTCAGATTTAATAAAAACCCCATCATTTGTGAAGCAGAGAGGTAACGCGAAATGAAGGGAATGGTGAAATAAATGTGTTTTCCTTATGTTTCTCTAGGTGGGAAGGGCAGGGGTTTCCAGGTACACGTGAGAGGAAGAACTCGGCAGTTCAGCTTGCCTTGAGCTGCAGGTCTCGGAGCATCAAAGGGATGCCTCTTCCTCCAGCCCCGTGCATTAACATGCCGATAGTAAGGACACCTGCAGGGACCTTTTCTGGGGGGTTCTGGGGCTTCCACATTGTATTTTCAAACACTCCCTGCAGGTGCTTGGGAGGTGTCCAACAGCGGTGGGGGGACAGGCAGGGCAAGACAGGACAATTTCCCGATGAGGTTGGAAGGAAGAGAAACCAGAGGCTCTCTTTGCGTGGTGGGTTTTTTCCATGATATGCCTGACAGTGCTGATTTCTGCGTTGTCCGGACACGTTGCAGTGCACGGCAGCTCCCTTTGGCCTGTTCGCCCAGGTTTTCTTCCCGTGGGAAGGGGAGCGCTGCGGGGAGTGGGCAGGGAGAAAGAGGTAGTTGACGCATTCGTAGGTCTTGCTCTGAAATAACATCACAGGGCAGCCGGGGCGTTCACCCAAGCCGAGGAGCTGGAGTGCCCTGGTTTGGGGGTAGCCAGAGGAACCCGTTCAGCCGCTCCCCCTGCCCTCTTCTCTCCCCGTCCTCCTCCTGATCCATCGGCATGTCCCCTCCGTGGCAGGAAGCTCTTGTTTTGTGTTGGAAAAAGTAAAACTGGACCATAACTGTACATTATATATAGTATTTCTTTGTGACTTTAAAGACTTGTTCTTAAGTAGAGTAAATGGCAGTCACGTTGTCTTCTGCAGACAAGCTCTGCTCTTTGGTCATGGCTTTTGAAACCCTCTAAAGCTGATAAATAAATTAAAATTTATTTTGACAGCATTTGCAAAAACATTGAGAAGAGGATTAAATATGAGACTAAAGGGGAGCAGTAGAGTCTTCAGCTTTTGATGACCTGAAATGAAGAATAGTGGATCTCTATAAGATATTTATACACGAATTACTAGGTTACAGCCGTGGTAACTGGGTGAAGTTCTGCGATTAGATTTGATGGCCTGAAAGCTCCTTTTTTCTGATGAACTCTGTCAAAGTTTCCATGATTTCATCCAGCTCTGCCCATCGCTGTTGGTTGGGAAACAAGTGAGGAGCACACGAAGAATAAGCAAAAACTATTGTTAGGCTGACCGTTGGTTGCACAGCAGTGGATGTTCTCCAGACCATTTCCTTGCTCTCCTTCCCTCCTCTGCGCTCTGCCCGTCATGTATGTTGGCCAAATCTTTGCGCTAGTGTTGCCTAGAGCTTTTTGGACTGGTTGAAGGCTTTGGGGTGGCCGTATTTCCAGTTCTCTGGAAATGTCTCTGGATATCATGGAGCCTTGTAGACAGTATTTTTCTTGTGTTGTTTCCAGATTGCATACCAGATGTTAGAGCTGGGCTGTCAGGCTGTTTCACAATGGTTTGCTTTCCATTTACTAAGTAGTAATTTTCTTTCTGTCCATCCTAAGTCACCAGGTAAAAGTGGAGTCAAAGTACGCTTTGATCTCTCACTACAACATTTCTTTCACCTCCACTACTAAGACCTGCCAATTTTTCAAGCATCAAACTAATTCCCATCCAGAAACTTTTACCTTAAAAAATTTCTCAGATCTAAATCCATCCTAAATCAGGATGTTGCTTTCCCAAAGACAAAGGTTAACCTCGGCGACATCTGCCCAGATGTTGTTTATCTCCTTACTGAGGTATGCTATTTGCCCTGCTGACAATTTTGCTGTTTTTGGCATTAACCTTGTACCTGCCTCCCTGAAACCAGTGCTCAGGGTGCCCGAGGGCTCCTAGCCATGAGAAGTGACTCCTGGGGAAAAAGAGGGTTCTTCTCCAGTTTCTGCAGAGCATCAAAATCCGTCCTGTGGCTGTGTAGCTGAACTTTGCTTTTCAAGTGGATTTATTAACTTTCTTACCTCCTGCCCCAACATACCATCTCTGGCTGCTCTTCATGAACTGTTCCCTGCTCCCTTCTCCCAAATTCTCAATGCTTTTTTCAGATTTATCCATTTTTTTCCCCTTCATTCCTCTAGTCCAGTGGTCGTTTTCTCGGTAGCACCGCAGCATGCATGTAGGGCAGGTGGCAGCGGGAAGATGCTCGGGTTAGAAAGCCCCGGTCCCACTGCCTGCCAAGGGCAAGATCTCACTAGCAGGAGGAGGAGATGGCCGGAGGCTACAAACATTTCTGCGACATAGGAAAGGAAGGGGAAGCTAACAGCTCGGGGCTGCCAGGTGTGCTTTGAGCAGCCCAACACTGATTGCATCCT